TATCTGTAAAGGTCTGAATCTGTGAAACTAAAGAATGTTGATCCAAAGACTTGACATAGAAATAGCAATAAAGCATCAATAAGTATTTGTAGGAAAGGGGCTGCATGGTTGAAAATATATCATGTCCCACAAGGCTGTGTAAATATGTCATGTCCCACAAGGCTGTGTAAATGACTTCAGACTCTATAAAGGCTGGAAAGTGCGGATTGGGCAACTCCAGCCCACATATGGCAGCAATACTTCATTTCAGGTCTTACCTATGATAAAGTATACATCATGCCATAATTCCTACATGTAGCATCTGCCAAAGAGCAATGATTATTAAGCCAGTCTCATAGACTAATGTCTGTCTAATAAGTTAATTCCTCACTGATACTGTAGCCATGTATCAGATTCAGTTTCGCTTAGTTTAGAACAAAGCCATAATATTAAGTCACCCAGCAAGAACTGAACACATTATAGAAATGAATGCACTGTAAGACAAACTATATTTTATATATGCGTTTAAATTCCTTGAGGAACATAGGGCCGCAAGATATCATTGCAGTTTCTATAACAAGCCAGTTTTTTAAGTGAATAGTTTGTTAGCCTACTGGATAACCCTCAACCTGGAGGATCAGGTTTTAAATTCAGAGTTGTCCTTCTCCTAGACCAGTTGCCACCCAAGGCTATAGAACCCAGTCCTGCTATTTACCCATAGCTGAGGGGAGAAGAAGAGGATTCATAACTTTCCCAAGGGTATTAGCACGCAAGTGAATATAATGGATTCGACTGGAATTTGAACTCGGCTCTCTGATTCCTCAATCCGAGCTGCTATCCATTACTCCACCATGCCTGCAGATGCCTTAATAATCTCACAATGACATTTTTGTAAATAGTTTCATATTTGACTCCACTTCACCACAATCAGTAAATTTCTTGCTGAAAAACATTTACATAATTCTTTATTTATTTCTAGAAATGATATTTTTAGTGGGCACATGTATTTGAATTTTGATCCCTCAATTTAATTTTCCTAAATAGGGAAATTAATAACAACTGGCCCAGGTTGTTTATAAATTCTTTATACATATGAAATTATGTATCATATGAACAGACAAATGAAAACACATACATATAAAATGGTGTATAAATGAGATAAAAATTAAAATGTAAAATCATAAAATTGTAGAACAAAATCAACAAATTTGGTTCAATAACTGTCCTGGGTATGATTGACAGACTACATCTATGTCCTGAGTAAGATAATAAACTACATCCGGCAGCAAGACTTTTCATCAGGGGGTTTTGAGGAGTGTAGAACCTCCTCTTAATTGCTGGTGTTCCCAGGTCCACCCTGATCTGGGGTGGTAGCACCTGTCAGGGTCCCAGCTATGGTCAAATAATGAACCCCTAAACTGGGATCAAGACACTATGAAAGTGTAAAAATAGGTTTTAATACCAGCAATACTTTTTGAGAAAAATTATTATCAGCAATACATTTTTGGAAAAATATTACTAACAATATGTTTTTGAAAACAAATATTATCAGTAAGAAAAATCATGTCAGCATTAAATAACAGATTGTGATTGATATGCCATAAAACAAACCACACTAAACCAATAACAACAACAATGATGACCATGAATCCTCAGAAATGTTAATACAAGCAAAGACAACTTTTATTTTATTTTATAGATCTTATGACAATGGAAAGTTTTTTTTATTTTTATGCAAGGATAAATTGTGTCTTAGGAAGAGTAGGATGATAGAAAAAGAAAAAAGGAGTATCACTTTTAAAAAAGAAGTTTCATTTTTTAAAAAAGGAGTATGTTTTAAAAAATGAGTATCATTTTTAAAAAAGAAGTATCACTTTTAAAAAGGAGTATCACTTTTAAAAACGAGTATTACTTTTGAAAAAGGAGCATTACTTTTAAAAAGGAGTATCATTTTTAAAAAAAGGAGTATCACTTGTGAAAAAAAAGGAGTATTATTTATGATTGCAAGGAATAAAGAATAGGAAGTAAGAGAAAGAGGAGGTTATGGAAAATACAGGCAGAGAAAACTAAACAGTTGGTGGTCAATTTGAAAGTATTACAGACAGAAAATGAGGTGAATTTTGTTGTTGGGTTACTTTTATAATAAGTTTAGATGATTCTAGGATGACCTGCAAAGAAAAACAGAAAATATTTTGATTGGATTGGAAATCAAAAAATAATAAATACAATTTGAAATATGATAAAAAGCTTCTTGTAAGCAAATATGTATGCATGTAAATTGATGTAATGGAATAACCTGTCAGCCCAATGAGTGACTACACTATAGGTAGTAACTACCTATAAATATCTGTAAGTCAATGGACTACAGAGTTTAGCTGGGATCTGTTGAGTATGACTCAGATTTATGCGAGAACTACCGATCCTCCAATAGTAGCACTCACTACTGGATTGACTTGTGATGGCCTTGTGCATAACTGTTACCTTTATTCTTATTGTATTGGTTTTTACAATAAACCTTTACTTATTTTATCCATCGTGTTGTTCAAGTATATATTCCTATTAGCATGGAATATAACATAAATATATTTACATCTGTACATATGACACACAAAAATACTACATACATTTATTTAGGTATGTAAATTGCTACAATAGGGCCAATCTGTAGAAAATAGGATGCAAAATATCCACATAAGTTGGCAACTATTTGATATTTACAATTGTTTAAATTTGCCAAAGATTTTTGCATAGTATTATATTTTCCTGTCTGTAATTTTTTTACTTATTAAAGATATAACTGATAATGTTTCAAATTATTTTTGACTGCTTTAAAATTTTTAACTGTTTAAAAATTTTGTAATATGAAATCAGGTAAAAAAATTGCCCTTAACTCTTAAAAATAAAATAAGTGTTACAAAAGTCCATGTTTTTAAAATTATATTGCAAGAATAAAAAGCAATTATTGAGAAACTTTTAAGCAATAATTTTTTCCTTCTAATTTATAAAAAGCCAGGGATGGTTTGTATTCTGAAATATTCTATCATTCTGTGATAACTGAGAATAAAAAATTGTATCCAACAAATGTCTTAAACCTCATTCACAATCAACAAAAATTCATTTTTAATATAGATAACTTGTAAGAAATAATTATTTACTGCTAAATTTGATAGTTTTTTTTTTAAATAAATATTTTATTAATAAATGTTATTTTTTAATAAATGCTTTTTTATTAATATCTTATTTAAAATAACTCATCAACTCTTCATCAAGGTTTTTTTTACTGATTTACTGAATTCATGGATAATCTTCTCATAAATAATTGCTCAAAACAAACAATTGTCCAGAAATCTGTCAATTGATAAACTAATAGTTATGGAGAGCGAATTTCAAGCAATAGGTTTACAATAAATTCATAGAAAATGAGATAAAATTAGAGTCACTTAGAAAAGCAACAGAAAATTTAATTATAAAAATCATATCATCTAAAAATTTAATCAGCATTAACAAAGCCAAAGAATATATTGAACAAAACATATTATGTAGTCTGACGATTGTATGGAGTGATGGTGCTATTATAGAAAGTTTATGCAACTGTTTTATTTTCAGAACCTTTGGAAGACTTGGTATTGTTTTCTGGGACCAGCCAGAGGAATAATATTTAGTTTTGTATCTTTGGTTCAAGATAATTGCCTGTTCAAATAATGTTACAAGCAATAAAATCATGAAACCTGAAAAATACACACAAGTTTAATGCAGTCTTGGTTTATTTACTGCATATAAAGAAAAGAGAAAGAATTGATTTCTCAACCCTGGAGTTCTTCAGAATGCATTCAGTATCAAATGAATTCTTAAATGCAGCCTTTCGGTTAAATTGTCAGTGACAATTGATTAATAAGAATCATGACTTTTATTTTCAAATCTTCATTGATTAGTTACTTTGACAACTACAAAGGTCTGTCTATATCTCTGAGATGAGGTATTATGATTACTCGCATTATTTACATTATTCAGATTGTTATCCTCAATTTCAGTGCCATATTCACAACATTTCAGCCTCTATACCTCTGAGATGAGGTATTATGATTATTGACATTATTTACATTATATGGACTGTTATCCTCATTTTCATTGCCATATTCACAACATTTTGGCCTCTATATCTCTGAGATGAGGTATTATGATTGCCGGAATTATTTACATTATTCGTAATGTTATCCTCATATTCACAACGTTTCGGCCATTGTATGCTCCAGCCTTCTTCAGGTGATTGAAATTTCAAACCAAACCCTTTATTTCATCCTCAAGGACACATCGCCCAGTGGATAAAGATGTTGGTTAGATCCAGTGACTAAACCAAAGAGCTGTGAGCTCAATACCAGGCCACAAACTTGGTGAGTTGAGCTAAAGGGAAATCTGGAAGAGGCATGGCACGTGGAACTAGAACAATCTACCCCAGTGGATGAAATAAAGGGTTCGGTTCAAAATTCCAATCACTTGAAGAAGGCTGGAGCGTACAACAGCCAAAACATTGTGAATGTGGCAATGAAGATGAGGATAACAGTTCAAATAATGTAACTAATCCAAGTAATCATAATACCTCATCTCAGACATATAGAGCTCAAAACGTTGTGAATATGGCAATGAAGATGAGGTTAACAGTCCAAATAATGTAAATAATGCAAGTAATCATAATACCTCACCTAAGAGATATAGAGGCTGAAATGTTGTGAATATGGCAATGAAGATGAGGATAACAGTCCGAATAATGTAAATAATGAAAGTAATCATAATACCTCATCTCAGAGATATAGAGGCTGAAATGTTGTGAATATAGCAATGAAGATGAGGATAACAGTCCGAATAATATAAATAATGCAACTACAAAGATGTTTACTGATTTTCCTTCTCAATCCAGACCTTGTCACTCACCTGCATGATTCATTAACTGCCAATTGAATCTTACCAAATTCTTATGAAAGTGTCACTGTGCATTCAATATATCTCTCTGGGTTATGTTTCAGTGCGGAAATCAAAGCCAAAACCAAAACCATCAACAGTAGATGAAGAAGAGGAGAAAACTGATGGCCCCAGTGAAGTGCGATATTCTGGTGGCCACATCCCTTCCCGGGTGTTTAAAGTACTGCAAATGAGTGTTGCAGGTTCAGAGCCTGTTGAAGCAACAAGCAGTAAGTATTTTTAAGCATCTGGAATGTTATAATCTGTAAGTCATTTTGCTAGTTTTTATAGCCACATCACTTGAGGTGATAACTCTGATCCACATGAGACTGAATTTTGATTTTATTTCTTGCTTGCATAATCAGTCAGCTGTATTTATAAATCCAAAAACTAGAAAAATAGGTTTTGCATGATATGATATTGGTCAGCATATAAACACTTTTTCAACTTGCTTAACAAGATCATTATCCTCATCTTCATTGGCATATTCACAATGTTTCAGCCATTGTATGCTCCAGCCATTTTCAGGTGATTACAATTTCAAACCAAACCTTTTATTTCGTCCATCGGGGTAGATTGTTCTAGTTCCACGTGCCATGCCTCTCACAGCCGTCTCAGTAATTTCCCTTTAACTCAACTCTCAACTCGAGGATACATGGCCCAGTGGATAAAAGCATTGGTTAGATCCAGTGACTAGACCCAAAGAGTTGTGAGTTCAATACAAGGCCACAGCAGTGGTGAAACAAAACTTGGAGAGTTGAGTTAAAGGGAAATAACTGAGACACCTGGAAGAGGCATGGTACGTGGAACTAGAACAGTCTACCCTGGTAGATGAAATAATAGGTTCAGTTTGAAATTCCAATCACTTGAAGAAGGCCTGAGCGTACAATGGCTGAAATGTTGTGAATATGGCAATGAAGATGAGGATAACAATCTGAACAATGTAAATAATGCAAGTAAAGTGGTTGTTTCAATTAATTTGCACAAGGGTGTTTAAAAAAGAGTATTTTTGGAGAAGAGAGTCTCAGATGATAAAAAATGGATTTATTATGGAATTCAAAATGAAGAAAATTGTGGCTAGATTAAGAGGAACCTTTAACATATCAACTTAAATAGAATTTCCTAGAGTAAAAAGAGTTTTCTTTGTCTGGTGAGATTCAAAAGGAATTTTTATTATGACTTACTAGAAGCTGAACAAAGAATTAAGAAGCAACATTATAGTGAACAAGTGATTTGTTTTATTTTTGGTGCATTTAGACAAGGAAATCACCTGGTAATTTTGTTACCTGACAATACATGTACTCAAATTTCAAATAGGATGTCGAAAACAATCAAGGAGGTGAGATAAAACGTTCTTCTACATGTACCTTACTTTCAGGCCTGTCATCTTCAGGTTATCATTTATTTTGTTCTATGAAGTTCTTGCTGTCTTATCAGTCAGTCATTTATGTGCCATGCGTGATACACACTTAGGCGATCATGTATCTTTCGATACCTGAGTGACGAGGCAGATTTCTTTCTGCAATAGATTGCCATTTGTTTCTGTAGTAGACCAGTTGCCAGCCAAGGCTAAAGAACCTGGCCTGTCCTGCTATTTACCCATATCTGGGGGGAGAAGAAGAGGATTCATGCCTTTCCCAAGGGTATTAGCATGTAAGTGAATATAATGGATACAGTAGGAATTTGAACTCTGCTTTCCGATTCCTCAATCCGAGCCACTACCCATTACTTCACCAGCAGTTCTATTAATATATTGAAAAATTTCCTGAAGAATTTTTCAAATCAAAACTAGTCTTAGCCAATTTAGATGAAAGGCAACATGGTGACTAATGGATTTATATGAATAAAAGATGTTATTAAAAAATGTTTGTAACTTTTGCATCTTTCTAATAAAAGTATTGATATCTTTCATATTATGCAATAAAAAGTATTAGAAATTCTTTATTAATCCATTTATTATGATTTAATAATGATGATTTAATTATGATTTAATAAAGATGAAGATCAACCTCTTCAATTTATTTATAAATATATATAATATTTACATGTAAAAATATTTTCCTGCAAAAGAATTCTAAGGATTTTTCAATACCTCAATATTTTCTCAAGTAGAGAGTGAAAATATCAATGGTGGTCACTCTGGATGTAATGGTTCTTATTTTATTATACCAATGTCAGAATTTGATGTCAGTGGTATGGCTGTCGAGGTTGAACTTTTCTACCAATAACCTATAATTTTTGTCACAGATAGTAGTCTGACAAAATGGAATTCGACAAGAAAACACATATGAAGATGTATAGTATTGAGTGCCCTCCATACATAAAAAATTGCACTCATTGACATTAATTAATGCTTGCTGAATATTTATGTAGAAGAAATAGAGGATCTGAGCACTGTTAGACAATGGGTAATGCATTTCAGCAGTGTATGTGAGAAGTCATGTTCTGAGAAGTACTGCTTTGTTGTCAATACATAAAATGAAGAGCACCTTGAAAAAGCATAGCTAATTAATGATGACACTATGTAAAAAATAATACTTTGTAGCTAAAAAGTTGCTCTATCCAATGATGTTATTGTGATCCCAGGATCTACTGTAGTTTTCATGGAAATAAATAGAAAGGATTACTTCTAGAGTATTCCCTATATTTTCCCATTCCCACTTGGAGAAGAAGACACATGCAGCTGCAAATTATGTGACCAATATTGCAATGCAGAGTAATTCATACTAATATTAATTAGATAAAAAGAAGTAATGAAGGATTTTTTTTTTCCATTTTTCCCAGGTGCCAATCAAAGTGAAGATGATGATAAACCTGTAAGATCGCAACCTCGTCAGTCCCGGTCGATGAGAATTATACAAAAGTCAAAAATACCTCCTCAAGAAAGTGCAGCTGAGATGGGATGTACAGACTTTTAACATACTAAAAATGAGATCCATTCTTTTCTATAATTTGATAAACCGACCCATCCCCATGCACGCATACACACACACACATATTCACACACAAAACCCAACACACACACATACAGAGCAACATACACACACAACCAACATTATGTATACAAATACAAAACTACAGAGCTCAGAAGTTTTTCTTGAGTAATATTAATAATTATATTGATGGCAATAATTTTAATTGCAAAGCTGATGATAATAATGATTATTACTATTATTGTTATAATTTTGATAGTATTGAGTCCCTACCAGTGTTTTTGTAAGATGTGTGCAATGCTCTTTTGGTTCTGCTTCCTTTCCTCTACTTGTGTTCTTTTCTGACACAAGATGTATTACTTGCTTCTATTGATGCTTGTGTCTTTTAAACAAAAGGAATGGATTTAAAAAAAAAAAAAAATCTTCTATTCACTATTTATGTTGCTTCTGATTGTTCCTTCTTGATCAAGTAATTTATTGCTTGAACAATCACAGGATGAAACTTTAACTTATTCTTTGAAAACATTCAGCTAAGGTGTGTTATATCAGCATTAGTATTATCTATCTATCTATAACTTTGATGTCAAGATTTACACGCCCTTAAATGAAAGGCTCGTTTGTATTTCTGCCCTAATTTCTTTATGAGAAATGATTCTTCTTTTTTTTTTTTTTTTTTTTTTTTTTAGTAATCTTTGTCTTGTTTACAATTTTTTAAAATTTGGTTTAATGATTTCAAGTGTTCTCAGATTTCATCCGGTCAAGATGAATCTGACTTTCACAATATCTCTTTCTGTCCAATTTCTCTGACTAAACCCAATAAAAATGAATTTTCAAGATATGATCTTAATTTTTTTTTTTTTTTGTTTTTAAAACATTTTTTTTATCATCAAATTAGTCATTTGTGTTTACTTATCTTTTTTTTTTTTTAAAGCAGATTTATTCTGATTTCCCAATATGTTTTTGCCTGTTAACATTAGCCTAATTTGGCCAATTAGGCCACCTATAACCACTGGCACTCTGGTATATGGTATCATCCTTTACCAAAGATTTTATACTGATTGACAATGTCTTTTATAAATTACCACATCTAACCACAGGCATGCTGGTATGCCATGATATTGTGTGCTTTACCAATATACCACTGCAAATTTAATTTGCTTCAACCATGCTTCTTTCATTAAAGAGTGTGCAATCTCAGCCCATCCCTTAATTATTATCAAAGACTCTGTCGTAAAACTTGATTACAGATTAATCTGTTAGACTCTACCATGTTGAACAAATTCTTTCCTTCTTTCAACAAACACTTCAGATATTTTCTCGTTTCTTCCACCTTTTATAAGATCTTTAAGTGACCATCTTTGACAAGATAATTACTAAGAACCTAGCATTGAATAATGGTTAGCAAGGTTAGTCTGGTTGAGCATTACTACTGAGTAATGGTCTTGATCCTCACTAGGTGCCCCATGCAAAATTTGACATTACGTATTCCAACCAAGGTTTACATCAAAATCAACCAACTTAACAAATTTACTCTCAGGGCATTCATTTACTCCAGAAAATACTAATTCCATCTCTCACTAGTTGCCTTTCTTGTCATATGCCTTACTCATCAAAGTAGTCTTACAGATTGTATTAAAAACCAAACAATTTAAATTCCATGAAATCAAGATAAATTTGAATTTTGTGACTATAATTTTGCCAGTATAATTACCTCTTGGTTAACTAGTCTGTTTTTTTGGATACAAAGTATTTTTTACTTGCCAGTATAGTAATTTCAATGCATCTGGGCAAGATTACACACATCTTCTGAAGAAAAAGCAAAACCTTTAGTTAATTCTGTTAATGGTAGATTATTGTATACTGTCACGAAGATGGTTGTGCTGTTTGTTTTATTAATAATATGTTTTATTCAGCCCATTGAGAAAATTCATTATCAACAATTTTATTAGTCTCTTTCAGCTGTTGACTTTTGGGCTATAAAAAAATAATGAGAATGGCCATATTCCTGATTATTCTACCTTCTGTGTTTATTTTTATAACAGAATCATCCCTAATTTTTCTTATCCTGAGAAAATATAAAAGAGACAACTGTGTTTGTATTGGACAGAAGCTATCAAAATTTGGAGCCAGCCATTTTTTTTGTTATGTAAACTTATGGCTATATATTTGTATGCTTATAAAATCGATTTCAGCTAAGGCATGACTATAAAGATTAATAAGTAATTTATGTGAGTATGGATGTGTGTGCATAAATTATTATTTAGTGTGTTATTTAAGGAATGAGTTGTTGATTTTGTTGTTTGAGAGAAAAACTGAAATCCCTCAAAGTAAATAAATTTGTTAAAATACCTTCATCTTTTGTAATATAACAAATGTTTGTCAACTTTTTCTATACAATCTATTTATAGAAAACAAAAAATATTGGCTAAAATTCCAGATCTCTAAATTTCTTAATGAACAGATGAAGTTTAACTTCAAAAACTTTAAAAAATGTCTTTCAGCTATTTTCTTTCTTTTTTCTTTTTTTTTTTTTGTGGGGTCTATCATCACTTCGTTAATAAGCATCTCCCTACTAGAGATACTGCACTCAATACTTTTAAAAGTTTCACTAAACAGAAGGGAGATATTTATTAAGATAATGGCAAAATAGTCAGGAGGAGTCCTGGATATATGAGACATCATGGCAAGTAGAGATATTTCCACATAGCTATGGCTTCCAACTCTTAATAATTATGAAAGGAATGATAGAGAATTTGCTCAAAGATTTTATCTGTCTCAATTCTCATGTTGATGGGTTCTGTGCATTAATGTTTACATGATTTCACTTGAATAATAATAAGTATTTATGAATAAATATAAAGATTTTACAAGAAGTTCTTACCAAATCTCTTCAGATGTTCACATATGTATTTTGTAACTTTATTTGTACTTATTTGCTTTTTTATTAATTAACATGGAAAACTGGTGAAGATAGACTAAATCAAGTTGACATGATTGGAATATATCAACAATCGTGCTGACACCAAATGAACATTATTTTCAGAATAAGTATTTATATACTTTTAGTGTCTTATATAAAATTACAAGTCAAATGGTACAAAGTTAATTGCATGTGTTTTTTTTATATTTCAAGAGAAGAAAGATTCCAAGAATCAGAGATTTTCCTTTTGAGGTTCAAGGAAGAAGCTAAATTAGTTTTCCAAGATGATGTGAAATACCAAGAATACATATAAATATAAACTTAAGTATAAGTGCATATCCAAGCACAAGGCTCAGTGTGTGTGTGTGTGTGTGTATATATATATATATATATATATATATATATATATATATATATATCCAAATGAGAGAAAACAGCACATCATTTGCCTGAAGAGGTACAACCTAGTGCTGAAGCACAAAACCTATTGTGTAGCAATTTCAATATGTTTTTGTTCTAATATCTAAAATAAAATAATAATAATAGTTATATATATATATATATATATATATATATATATATATATATATATACATACATAAACATATATGTGCAAGTGTATATATGTCAATATGCTTATAGATAGCTGTGAGTTTATGCTAGTATAAAGATGTATGCCACATTCATTACTCACTTTTTTTTGTTTCAGAAGTATATCACAAATGTATAAAGGCAAATATGCATATATGACAATGATATTTACTAAGATTTTCAATTTAGTATAATAAAATTTAAATATGTTCTGACACTAAATTAGTCATGAATATGTCTCTACTTCATACCATTAATTTTTTTACTTGTAAAATCACAATATCTATGCAATATCTATATATATATATATATATATATATATATATATATATATATATATATATATATATATATATATATATATATATATATATATATATATATATGTATATATATATGTATGTATATATATATGTATGTATATATATATGTATGTATATATATATATATATATATATTATATATATATATGTATATATATATATATATATATGTATATATATATGTATATATATATATATATGTATATATATATATATATATATATATATATATATATGAATATATATATATATATATATATATATATATATATATATATATATTTATATATATATATATATGTGTGTGTGTATATAAATAAAAAGAAAGAACAGTAAGTAATCCCGTTTCTTATAGATATTTTATTTTTACAAAATAGTGCTTGATGTAAATTTACAGAGCATTAATATTATAAATTAATTGATTTAAAATATGTTTTTTCCACTACAGTTTCTAACCATGTTTCTAAAATGGAAGCTAAAAAGCCCCAATTTAATTTTGTAATTAAATTTAAGACATTAGTTCCATTTAAATTTAATTACAAAATTAAATTCAGGGCTTTTAGCTTCCATTTTTGAAACATGGTTAGAACTGTGTAGCGGAAAAAAATATTTTTAAATCAATTAATATATAATATATATATATATATATATATATATATATGCATGTATATATATATATATATATATATTTAAGTAAATGCATTGTTTATAATAAACAGTATTACAACATTTACTGTCCTGAATGTCCGAGAAATTTCATAGAAAATATGTCCTCTGATACATTTATTATAAACAGAGCATTTACTTACACAATTGTATTTATAAAAATAATATATAAACAGAGAATATATTAAAATAATTGTCAGACTTAGTCCATTTCATTATATATATATATATATATATATTTATATATATAATATTGGTCTACTATGTACTGAGCCCTCTTTTAAATTAAATATTATGAATGTTAGAAGTGTACTCTATTCATTCTCATCATACCTGGATATATATATATATATATATATATATGGTTAAATATGATACAAATGTTATACATAGCCTACAAATGGGAAAAATGATGAGTCAAATTCATAGAGCCAATAAATTTTTTTCCAAGATTAGCCTTTTGAATTATCTATACTGCTATTTAC